CCATGGTCCCTCAACACTGAAGGATGTCTACTACATTTAACTTTCAGCATGGATCAGTCTGTTAAGTATCTCTGAATCATACTGGTTTTCTAACTACACTACCCGAACATGCAACAACTTGGTCATCTGACTGTCCATTAGTTCCAGTGACTGACTGTGGTCAGTTTGGAATCTTTGAGTCTTCTTATTCTGCATCCACTATCTGTAGAGTTTGCTCTATTGATTGTTCTTTCTGAGGAAAGAAACGGAAGTTGTCAACTGTTTCTGCTAAACTCTCCACTCAATCATAAGAACGGCCATACTGGGTCAGACCAAAGGTCCATCTTGCTCAGTATTCTGTCTTCCGACAGTGCCCAGTGCCAGGTGCTCCAGAGGGAATGAACAGAACAGGTAATCATCAAGTGATCCAACCGCTGTTGCCTATTGCCAGCTTCTGTCAAACAGAGGCTAGGGACACCATCCCTGCCCATCCTGGCTAATAGCCATTGATGGACCTCTCCTCTAGTTCTTTTTTGAGCCTTCAAACATCCTCTGGCATAGAGTTCCACAGGTCGACTGTGTTGTGTGAAGAAATATTTCCTTTTGTTTGTTTTTAACTTGCTGCCTATTAATTTCATTTGGTGACCCTAGTTCTTGTGTTATGAGAAGAAGTAAATAACACTTCCTTATTTACTTTCTCCACACCAGTCATGATTTTATAGACCTCCTTCCCCTTAGTCGTCTCTTTTCCAAGCTGAAAAGTCACAATCTTATTAATCTCTCATATGGAAACTGTTCCATACCCCTAATCATTTTTGTTGCCCTTTTCTGTACCATTTTCAAGGGGCGACCACATCTGCCTACAGTATTCAAGATGTGGGCGTACCATGGATTTATAAAGAGGCAATATATTTTCTGTGTTATTATCTGTCCCTTCTTAATGATTCCCAACATTCTGTTTGCTTTTTTCACTGCTGCTGCACATTGAGTGGATGTTTTCAGAGAACTATCCACTATGACACCAAGATCTCTTTCTTGCATGGTAACAGCTAATTTAGTTCCCATCATTTTATATATATAGTTGGAATTGTTTTCCAATGTGCATTGTGACATTCTATACTTTGGGGGAGCACCCTGTAACCCCCCCATATTCCTCATCTGTATATAATTATATTATATATAAAACATGCCTTGTAAGGTATCGGGGAAAGGTTATGATCTGCTGAAAGTAATTTCTCTATCTATATATTTATGTATATGATATTCCAATCCTCCTGTGCTGATGATGAATCCCAACTTTGTCATCAGCAAATTTCATTAACACACTCCTGCTTTTTGTGCCTCCATCATGTACTCTCCCTGCACCTCAAGAGTGAAGTTAAACCCAGACTCAGACTGACTTCCCACCACCTCTATCTATTGTTGTTTAACAACAGTCCTTGGGTCAGTTTTCAATCCACATGGTGAAGCTGAGATTGAAGCCCATCTGAGGTGAGATTCCATGAGACAAATGCTTTATTACAGTCCAGCTAAATCAGTGGTCTCCAACCTTTTTATGCACAAGATCACTTTTTGAATTAAGATCAACCCAGGATCTACCCCGCCTCTTCCCCGAGGCCCCATCCTGCTCACTCCATTCCCCTCTCCCTCCTTCACTCACTCTCCCCCACCCTCACTCACTTTCACTGGGCTGGAGCAGGTGGTTGGAGTGCTGGAAGGGGTGCAGGCTCTGGGCTGGGAGCGAGGGGTTTGGAGTGTGGGAGGGGGCTCTGGGCTGAGCCTGGGGCAGGGGGTGGGGTGCAGGAGTGAGGGGTGCAAGCTCTGGGAGGGAGTTTGGGTG